TGCCCAGCCCTCCCTTCAACCCCTCCATTCCTCCCTATTTACAAAGATTTTGTTCCTATTTTTCCATTTTCTCATATTAATTCCATTCCCTTCTTGGAGAATAAAACTTTTTATGTGGAATGAAACAACTCACCCTCCACATGCAGAAAAAAGAAACATAAGGCAAATTCTGTCATAACTGGTAGTGCAGATAAAAATGTAATAGAAAGTTGAGCTCAAGCAGGAGCATAGCAATTTATGGCATGAAGAACAAACAGTACTTGCTTGGGCTTCTAATTCAATGAAAGTTAAAAACAATTTAGAGCCTTCCAGGATTCTGTACCACTGCTCCCAGCACGGAGGAGTAGAGCTGCCTCCAGCACTGTGGAGGAGCTTTCTGGGCTGCCAAACCACTGACCCCAGTGCAGAGGAGCAGAGTCACCCCCAGCACCGAGGAGGTGAGCCCCGCATGTGCCAGCATCACACCCGTCAACCATTGAAATGAGAAGACACATAAACAAGCCTCAGAACCAGACTTCCAGATCACCTACAGAAACACCAAAGGGAAACAAGATAGAACACTCTGAAACTCAACAACTTGGGCTCCCTGAACTGGCAACAAAAGAGGATTTGGAAAAAATGAAATCAGAAATAATTTCTCACAATAACAGCAGAGATTGTGCCCATAGTGCAAGGCATGATTAATAAATCTAGAAAGAACACAGATGAAAAATAGAGGAGCTGAGGAACATGATGGAATCCCAACATAGGAAATAAATGGAACCCATAGAACAGATGCAAACAGATTTCTAGGAGATTAAAAACTCCACTGAAAGTTTACACAGCAGAAAGAGCCAATCTGAGAACAGAATTTCAGATATAGGTGATAAGTTCGCAATTAGTGACCAGGAAAAGAAAAACTTCTTTAAAATAGTAAGGGACCACAAGAACTCAATCCAGCATCTGCTAGATGATTCAAAGAAGAATAACATAAGATTGATCAGAGTCAATGAAGAAAGAGGAGAGAGTGCAGATAACATAAAAAAAACTGTTCACAGAAGTGATGGCAGCAAACTTCCCAAGCAGGGGAAAAGAACTTGACACACAGTTGAGTGAGGCATATAGGACTCCAACTAGCCTTGATGAAAAAAATCTACACATAAGCATATAATAGTTAAGATTCCAGAAACCCAACAGAAGAACAAA